TCGGCAGATGGCAAGCGTGCTGCGTGGCGTGGGGGTCCGCGAGCGGTACCTTCGGGAGCGGTGTGATAGTTTGCTTTGATGGTTTGGTTGTGATATTTTTATTTTTTTTTTTGACTAAAGCAGCTTCTTGGTGTGTCGGGTTGTATCTGACCGCCAGGAGCTGTAGCTCTGTGGGTGCCCGCGGATCTAGTCCTGTAAGTTCCTGCAGGTGAACAGATCTTTGTAGAGATGAAGGCATCACTCTCAATCTGCCGACACGTAGCATGGGACCAAGCACAGAAAATACTTTAGCACAGGGTTGCTGCTGGTTTGTGGTTGTGTGTTTTTTGTTTTTTTTTTTAAAGTGAAATTTGAAAGCGTGTAAACAATTTTTACAGTAACGTTGAAAATACTGTCTGCCTAGAAATGTATTTTCAGTTCTGAGTTTTTGTTTTTGTTTTCCGAGTTTTTTTGTTGTTGTTCCAAATGGGAAAACTTTAAAAGGTACCAAACTTAGAAGTGTCTTACTCCTATGGCATTTCTTATTATATTAATGTACATAGCTAAAACTTTTGTTTTTCTCTGTATATACTTTTAGAAAACAAAATACTTATTGGAGAATTTTTGGGAGAAGAAAATTGAAGCTTGGAGCCTCAAGTGGTTACTTATGCTTAGTCGTTTGTATGTGTTTTTTTTTTTGTCCTGAGTTAGCTGTGGTGTATGCTTACGTGTTTTCAGGGTTTGTAGTCATATCTGTTTTATAATCTACTTGTTTCAAATATTGTGAATGTAATATTCCACATCCTTATCAGGCTTTTGCAGAACTTTCTAGAAAAATATAGTTAGGTCTTTGCTATAAAACGTTGAGTTACAGTTTTTACTTAATAATAAGATAAATATCGTTTGAGTTCAAGTTAAAATTTGCTGGATTAAGATACTGTTTATTCTGTCTTGCTTTTAAGTTGTTATATGTGTATGCTTACCAGTTATGAATGCCAGAGGTGTAGTGACAAGGCTAAGGTTAAAATAGGCCTTAGGAAAAATTTGTTAGCAACTTTTAATCCTACTCATTAATTTAGCATTTGTATTGTATTTGGTCTTCTTTGGGAGAGAACATCATATGTATTTACAGTTTCTGTCTTAATGTGTTAAAAATGCACATAATGTAAAATTGTGAATTTGTGCTTTTCAATTTATTCTTTCAGTTATGCTTTTATTTAAACCTGCTAAAATACCTTTCCTTTTGTTTCCAGGCCTTTTTTCAGTATTCCTCCTGACTGTGGCCTTTTCTGAGTTTTACATATTTACCTCTTCTGTGTGCGTGGAAAAATGTTAAAAAGGCTGTTGAAGAACTGAAGTATTTTCTTAACGTGTAAGTCTGACTTCTTTGATAATGTACATTTAAAGATCTCTGGGATTTTTTTTTTTTTTTTTACTGGTTGGTTGTTTCTAGTGAATATTTTTATTTGTAGTGTTGCAGCTACCTGTAAATAGTTATATACTACCCAGTAATATCAAAGTTAAATTGTAATTTGTGTGGTTAATTGGTTAAAGGAAATCTCAAATCACGTTTGGATAAAACCAACTGAGACTCTTTGCCAGACATAAATTTTTTTATCCAGTTAGTCAGATGCTGGCTAACTGCAGGCCACATTGGCCCTATGTTAAAAGTCTCAGGCCTGTTCTCTCCAGCATACCTTACCCACTTCCGATTTTTATAATGTTACTTGCATACATATTTAGATTGCAGTACTTGACACTGTAACATTTTAATCTGAATGATAGGCAGCTGTCATCAGGATGATGGGTTGTGTCATGCAACCTGTAACTTTCATGTATTGCATCTGGGTATTAAAAAAGTTCTTCAAGCAAACAAGTCCATGTAATTTTTTGGTAGTTATTCTTCATGTGGGAGTTCAGCTTGCTCCTGTTCAAATCGGGGATTTCTTATTGACAAGAGACAGCATTATAATGCAGTACTCTCTTGGTGAAAATCGAGGGAAATGTGGATGAGTTTTTCTATTTTGAGATCTCAAAGTAGAGTAATATCCTATGTATTAATCTCCTGTGTAGAAGATAGGAAATGTAGCATTGAGTTTAGAAAAAAGAAAAAAAAGGAGGGAGTATGTGTGTGAGTCTGTGGTTTGTGGTTTTTTTTGTTTGTTTTTAGAATGTCAAATGTATAGTTGAAATCTTGCAGATCTCATAGCTGTAGAACACAGTTAATTAAATTTATTTGATATTGGGGTCTGTGTAAAATGTCAAAGACTGTTTTGCTTATTATTTTCAAGAGTTGTACGGAAATCTTTTCTGAGGGAATGCAGTAAAGCATATGCTTAACTTGCTGTGTGATACATGAATGTAGCCTTGAAATTTTTTAAGTTTCCATATTCTTTGTCAAGTATTTACATGGGTAATGCTAAGATACTTCCTTCTCACAAGACTGGCAAAATATTTGGAAGACCTTAGTGGTGATGCTTATGGCCTGGAGCTCTAGGAGCAGCTCTTGAACTTTATCACAATGTGAGAGAGAATGTGATTATTCTCTCACTTTGAATGTGAATAAGCAGGATGATCTATTGAGTTCCAAGTCTGTGTTGCTTCAGGGTGGGTAGGAGAATAGGGGAGAAAGAGCTGCTGATGGGATTTCAGCTAATGCTTTACTAACTTTTGCTAGTAAAGAAGAAAGAGATGCTGTGACTTTTACTAAAAACTTTTTCCATAGTAGACTTACATACAAGTGAAGAAATGATTCTTCCTTTTCTGTTCTACTTTTCAAAAATCAAGTTATTTTTGCTGCTTTTCCATTTGTGCTGATTTTATGTTGACATGTGGGAGTGGTATTTGAGCATAGAAGACTTGAGCTGCTATAAATTGTCAGCACAGCCTGTTATGGAAACACTGACATTAAGTCTACAGTGAGACAATGATGCTGATCATACCAATTTGAGCCTCTTAGTCCATGGAGGAGTACTGCTGTCAGTCATGCACTCATTCTGAAAAGATTAACTTATGGCCAGGAACATGGTGACAAACCAGAGTTAACTTATCTGTTGACTGCTTCAGCCAAAAATTCACTGTAGATAGGTGTGGATTTTTTAGTGTTGATAAAGGTGATGTGTCCATTAGTGAAATAGATCTTTTGTCTTTTTTCCTTTTTAAGCACAATAGGTAGCTACTGGTAGAGTAGCAAACTTGACTAATGAATTTGACCTTTTTAGCACTTCAGCTAGGTTCAGCTAATGATCCATGTTGCAGAGGAGGTACTGTGTTTATATTTGCTTGAACTACTGAGTAACTAATAAATGCTGGCTTTATTTTAAAAAAAAAGCACTTCTCAGATTTCTCATGCTTACAGACTGCCCTGGTAGAAGAAGCCCAATTTTCATTTTTGATTGTTTTTCTTTAAAGTTAATTTTCCGAGATCTATGTATATTTTGTGAAAAACCTCCCCAACCGACAAACATGCCCCCAATGCAAACAAACATAAAAGGTGACAATGTCTCTTTTTTTTCCTCGTCCTTTTTCTCTCCCAATTGCTATTATAAAAATCAACAGCTTCCAAGTTTAGCATATATTTGTTAATTATGATTTGTAATGAATGTTTGAAATGCTGGGGTTTGAACCCCGAGCCCTGAATTAAGGTTGACATATGGGTGACTCCCACAGCCCTTCATCCAGAGGAGGAGAGTTTGCCTTACAGCTTCCCCCCAGGGTGCGGCCGGCCCTGCAGGGAGAGCCAGAAGGGAAATGAGCCCCAGGGGTCCTGCACTGAGTTGACAAAGGTCAGGGGTCTGCTTGGGGATAAAAGCTGGGACCACTTGCAGGGAGTCAGGAGTGTCTGTCTGTGGAGTGCACTCCCCAGAGCTTCCTGGTTCAGGGCAGACCTCCTGACTCTCCCTGGAGCTGGGCCCTGGTCTGTTTAGCCCTTTGCGAACGCGTGCGGATCGGGTGAGAGTTGCCATGTGGGCACCTTTGTTGTGTATGTTTAACTGGCTGCTCTGGCTGTTTCCCATGCCAACTACGGGAAACCTCGGCTCACTGCTTGTACCACCTGTTGTGGGTCGAATCATGTCTTTTTTGGGATTGATGGGGGTGGCATCAATTATGTACCAGCTGATGGACTTGTTTGTAACCCCGGAGGTCATTCATGGAATGTCCTTTTTGCTTACAGTACAGTCTGTGTATTGGTTTCTCTTCCTGCTGGTTGTGTCATTCCTGTTAGGCCTGGTCATTGGCAGAACAATGTTCTAATTGCATTAGTTTTAAAAGTAATACTTGCTTTGTTTTCTGATTTCAGGCGAATAAGATGGGGAAGTTCTAGAACCTTGAGAAGAACTTGGCACAGTGGTCTTGTTTGATGCAGGAACTAAGACTAATCTGACGAATTCCCTTAAAGAAAAGAAAAATCTAAAATCATGCCATCTGAAAAGGAACAGTTTTTTTGTGATGAAAAGCGAATGAATTTGTTAAACCACAATGCTGCAAAGAATTTTTCTATGGATACTGCTTTGGCAAAAGCACTGGTGAATGATCCTTTAAGTATGATGACTAAACCAGCAATTTTAGATGTCAGTCCCTCTTACGAATTAAAAAATGTGAAGATTCATTTACCTAAGGTGAACATTCCGAATGAAGTATTGATGAAACATGAAGTTGATAGATTTCGAAAACTCTTTCAGTGTAAACAACAAACTGCAAGGAAGTCCTTAAGTCTAGAGAAAATAAATGGAAGCAATCCCAGTTGTTCAGAGGGAAGCCACTTGCAAAGTACACCAGAAGTGCAATTTGAAGAAGGGTTGAAAACCACAGCGAAGGTACTGAATTTCATGTGCACAAAGTGCAAGGATAGTATTAGGTACAGTCCAAATGATCTACAGAAGCATTTCCAGCTGTTACACTGTGGCGAGCTGCCTTTGTATCCTTGTGAGATGTGTAACTTCTCAGCTAATGACTTTCAGTCCTTCAAACAGCATAGACGCACCCATCGTAGCACTTTAGTAAAATGTGAGCTCTGTAACGATGAGCGTATGTACACTTTGTTGGAGCTGACAAAACACTTCACATCAAAGCATTGTTTAAATGGTCACTTTCAATGTGAAAAATGCGGGTTTTCTACCCAGGATGTCGGCACGTTTGTTCAGCACATTCACAGACACAACGATATTCTGTATAAATGTGGAAAGTGCCATCATGTAAGCTTTACAAATGAGGAGTTCCAGAGACATCATCATCTTCATACTAGTGCGTTTCCTTTTGGTTGTCAATATTGCAGTTACAGCACGCCTCAGAAAGATTATCTTTTAAAACACATCATAGCTCTGCATGGAGACCACTTATATGCAAAAGAAAAACTGGAAAAGGATAAATGTGAAAAAAGAGTAGTGAAGACTCCAGCAGGACTGAAACTTGTGTTAAGAAGGTATAAAATGGGAGCGTCAAAAAAAGCACTCTGGAGACGGAAAAAAGTAAGCGGTGGAAGTGACAAAACTGGAGAAAAAATTGCACAAGTGCTAAGAAGTGTTAATGAAATTCAAACAAAATCTGAGGAGTTGAACCAGTATGTTAGAGATGTGGAACCAAATGAAGAAAAAGATCAAATTATGTTTACAGAAAAGCATAATTTCATGGGCGGAATGCTCTCTGCTACTGCTGCACAATACGATAAAGAAGATTATGGAACAAGTTATGGCCTGGGATTATTGAAAAATGCTGTTCATGGGCCAACAGTATTGATGGTCAAAAACAATAAAATAGCTGTTCCAGCAAATTACAGTGCTAAATTTATGGGATTTAAAGTGGTCGATGGAAAACAACATATTGTTATAAAGTTACTACCTACAAGTAAGCAGAATGTACATTTGTTGGGTCAGAAAGCTGATCCTATTAAAGATGGTTCTCCAACTCCTTTGCTACAGACTGCCGATCCCTGTGGCTTGTCTCCAGGTGCTATACCACATGTACACGATCAGTCAACCTTAAAGAACAATTCTGTTCACCCATTAATCTCCTCTCCATTTTCTTGTTCTGTTCCTCGTTCAGGAAAAAAAAAAGAGGAAAAGCAAAATAACTCCTTATTGTATGGTAGGAGTGTTTCTCAAACTGTAGCACCTTCTAATGTAGCCGTAAGAAAAAGCTCAAATTATTTGCCAATGAAGTTGGACACAACTGTACCTTCACATGATGGGGTGACTAAAGTTGGAACTCGAAGTAATGTCTCATGGGGAAGCTATGGTCCTCCGAGTCATCCTCAGGTATTACCACCCACTGTTTCAAATGGGTTTCACTATGACCCTATGAAAATGCCCTTTTTTCCTGAACTGAAAATACAGAATGGTGGTCTGAATAATAGCAACGGAGCGAATAATCTCTATTATTCAACTTCAGTGGATTCTTCTAACGAAAGGTTGCTGTCTTTTCACAACTATTCCAAAATGGACACTTTGGATGATCCACATAACATTTGGATGTCAACAGATGACAGATACAAAGAAATTCTATCTAGCAAAACAGTTTCTTTTAATCACAGGAAGAGAAGAGAATCTGCATCGTCATATTCAGAGTTGATGAAAGGCTTAAAACAAGAGAAAGTTGTATCGGCTCAGTCAAATATCAATAAAACTTACAGACACATAAACACTAAGAATAACTCTTTGTCTCCTAAAAGCAAATCTAAATCTGTTGTTGACAGCAAGTGTTTTACAGAGGACCAGCATAATGGCCAGCAGTATTTGGATGTTAACATACATCAAGGCTTTGAGAATATATCTGGGGAATTCCAAGAAAATGCCTCTGATTGCGTTAACTCGGTCTTAATGCCTAAAATCACATCTGTTTTCTCCTTGCAGAGTGAACAGGCAACCAATTATTTATCACCTGAAATAAACCAGGTGTTGCAAGATGTGTTAAAAGTGAAAGCAACTACTCAGCAGGACTCCCACAGCACGTCAAATAACTGCATAAATCTTCATTCTGACAAGGTGCTTTCTGGTCAGGAAACAGGGAATAAAGCCTTTACCCATTTAAAAAGCTCAGCTACTACATGTGGTTTTCAAAGGACTCCTCCTAGTGTAGGCTTTCAATTATACCAGAGAGAGTTGAACATGAGGTGTAGCACAAATGAAGGTATGCATTGTGGAAGAGAAAGACAGACATCCAGAACATTTAATTCACAGGGAATGGATAAATTATCCAGAACTCGAGGTTTTGGTATGTTGTCAAAACCTCATGCAGATGCAATCATAACCCATCAGTTAGTAAAAGATAAAATATTGTCTAGAACCCAAAATCCTGGCAGCTTTTCGCCAGTTCTTCAGGAACAGAAGAAGCCCCTTTTAGTTCAGTCCTCTCCATCAGGATTTTTTGTTCCTTTGCACCTTGGTAACCAGCCCGGACTTCAGGTGGTTTCAGGAAAATCTTTTCCATCAACCAGTTCATCAGACGGGCATGTGGCTAAAGGTGTACCTGCATCTTTTGTTTTAAATAAAAGACCTGGAATGATTTTGACTGTTAACGGGGCAATTGGAGCAGTTGCAGATGTCCCTAGTGATAGTTCTCAGGTTTTAGGGACAGTTGCATCCAGAGAATATGCTAAAATAACCATACCAGCTGCAAAAGTGGAGGGGGAAAATGACAGTTTGGGAAGCATAGGAAGTTCCTGTGGTAGGAAGGCACGTGGTACAGCAAATGACTCACTGAGTAGCACACCATTCAAAGGACCTTTTGTAGTTACAAACTCATCAGAGTCATCTGTGAAAGGCATTTCTGCTGTGAAGGTGTCAGAGGATCAAGATGCTGTCTTTGGTTCCTTGGAGTCCATGAACCAGCAGGAAATTAAACGGAAACAACACGTTTATGCACTTTTGCCTGATGGACAGCAGGCAGTTTTTCTGAAATGTGTGTCACCAAACAAGCCTGTAGTTTGTAAACAGAGTGTTTTTCAGGATAATGATCATTATCAAAATTGTCAACCAAAGAAAACTGGAGCCATGCAACAAAAGCTTTTGCTGAGAACTAAGACTTCTGCTTCAGACACACTGGCTGATACCAGTCAGTCAGTAAGCAACTTGGTGCCCTCACTTCAGCTGGATAACTTGCAGCCCCTTACTTCTGCACTAGCACAGAAACAAACTGAGCTTACTTCTAGTGATGCCTTAATCTTACCAGGTAGGTTACTACCAGCAAATGCCTCTTTGGCAACCTCTAATCCAGCATGTTGTGTCCCTCCTGCAGAACCTGCTTATTCTACTAAATCTGCAGGGACACGGTTGCGAAAAGGTTCTGTTGAGAGAACACAAGTGGTAACTGCTAACAACAGGAATCACTTTGATAGTCAGAAGTCCACATGGAACACCCGAACCAGAACTGCAAAAGTGAAACCTCGTTTAAAACAATCTGGGTCTAAAAGTTCAGAAACTGTGGGTATCCAAAGAAACAAGAAACGGAAAAGTAAGGGTAATTACCCAGAACCTCCAAAAAAGAAAGTAACGTTGCCCAGAAAGTGCAAGGAAAAAAATCAAACTCAAGTTGTTAGTGAATCTGGTGGCCCTTACAAACCAAGAGCATCAAAAGAAACTGTGAGGATTTTGAAGTTACTTCCTTTTAATTCTAAACAGCTTGTAAAATGCCCCAGGAGAAATCAACCAGTTGTTGTGCTTAACCATCCTGATGCAGATGTTCCAGAAGTTGTAAACGTAATGAAAACCATTGCTAAATTTAAGGGACACGTTCTTAAGGTTTCACTGTCAAAAAGAACTATTGAAGCGCTTCTGCAGCCAGCCTTATGCAATCCTTTGGATGTAACTACTGATGATCTTTTTCAAAAGAGGCACAGGACAATAAAACCTATTAGTCCTGTAAAAGAAAGGTTTGTCTTAAAATTGACACTGAAAAAGACTAGCAAAAACAATTACCAGATTGTGAAAACTACCTCTGATAATACCTTGAAAGCTAAGTTTAGCTGCTGGTTTTGTGGTAGAATATTTGACAATCAGGATAATTGGGTAGGACATGGTCAGAGGCATCTGATGGAGGCTACTCGAGATTGGAATTCATTAATACAATGATGACCGGTGAAGAAAATAAACAGTCTCATATTACAGGTTTCTAAAAAGAGAATCAGTTGAATTAGGATACACAAGGAATCTCATTTTGGATTTCTGTATGGGAACTGAAACTTAAAAATAATGCAAAGTGCTTGTGTTTAAGAGGAAGAGCAGATTCTCTATGGCCATCAAGCTTTGAGATCAATGTAGGAGCTTTGTGGCTTAGAAAACTTGTAACTAACTGCAAATACAATTTCATAAAAATATATATTATTTTTTCTTACTACTATCATGTCCTATATTTTTACTCTATAGAATGAGTCTTCAGGGCTTCTGTACATATTTAAAAAAAAACCTAAACATGTAAATATTTTTATACTCTCCAGTTATTTGGTATAATTCTTGCACAGAAATTACACCCTTCCCCCCCAAGTTTTTCAGATTTGTGCATGCACTACTAAAACCAATTTAAAAATTTTTTTCAACTGCGCACAGTTGTTATCCTGGGATTTTTGTTATTTTCACTTGTTAGTTCTTGATTTTGTTTTTCAGGGATTGAACACTATTGTTAGCAAGTGCCTAAAAGATGTGAAGCAGTTTACATTATGTCAACTGTATAACCATTGGTCCATATAGGGCCATTTCCCCAACAGTTTCATTTAAACAAAGCCATATGTGAATGCTTTAAGCTATATTGCTATGCACATGACACTTGTACTATTTCTGTGCAGTTTGTCTACTTTCTTAGTGAAATATTTTTCATATAAATTAATAAAACATGTGATAATTGTGTTAATATGGTGAACCTGAGAATGGAATCAGTTGAAAATATACAGTATATATATTCTTAATGTATATGGTGTCTAAGAACAGTGGACATTCCTAATCTGTATTGACTCTGTCGCTATTAAATTTGCTATAACTTGTGTTTACAGAATATGACTGTGAGCATTTGTATAAAATACATTTTTTTTTTTTTTTTTTTAAATACGATGTCTGCCACAAACTGTAGGAAAGCTGGAATATGGTGAAGTGCAAAGAACCATTTCAGGCCTGTAACTGCATTATCATTGTATTCCACATGGTGGAATAAACTTGCCCCATAAAGACTAAATAGTATTTTCTACTGTTGCTTATTCAGATGAAATGCCTTTTAGGGTACCAGGGATTGGATAAAACCAAGGCTTGAGCCGTTCCTCATTTTACCAGCCAGTAGGGTAATACTCCTAGGAGCTTGCTTGCTTCCTACTTACAGTTTAAGGGATAGCAACGAAAGAAGAATATGCTTCATGTTTCTTTATGTGAGGGTATGTAAACAAAAGACCTCATCCATAGTGGATAAGAGAGAGTATACAATTGACAGTCATTATCCACAGTAATTATGACGTTTAGAGGCTTTGTATTCCAGATTATTAATGAACCTAGAGGCTAGATCCAGTCTCCAGTCGGAGTGCCCTTACCATACGGGACCTTTTGCCCCAGGTATTGGAAGATTACATCTTGAGTGTGTAAGTCATCTTCCCAAAGTATTGATGGAAAAACTGTCAAAATTCAATCCTGGACTTGGAGGGGACTTGGGCCTTTAAATTTCTCAGGTTTTTAGATTGTATGCAAGCCCAAGCGTAGTTCTCTGTGCCTATTTACATAATGTGAAAGTGAAGATTGACTTGCTACTAATGCAAACGACTGGAAGTCCTTCACAGATGTTATAGGGATGTCATCAGTAACAGAATATGACTTATATTTTAAGTGTTACAATGAAAATGATTTTTAAAAAAAATGTTTCAGTAGCTAGATATGCTTTTTTTTCTCAGTGTGCCTGTTGGCAGGAAGATGCACACCAGCCTTTTAGCTGGTGAGTTATGTATGGGAATCAACTAAAGTGCCTGAGAGTCAAGGAAGCATAATTTGGGTTATACAGTTGGTGTGCATTCTGCATCAAAACAAATCATTTTATGCTGTACGATGGACTTGAGCTCTGACATTAATTTGGCTATGAACTTTGAAGAACACCAGTGTAGTGGTGAGGAAATGTGTTGGGAAGAAAAGCATTAGGAAGGACAAAAATGAGTTGAGCTTTTTTGATGGGAAGGATCTGTTGGCTGCCTCAGCTTGCTCTCCTATAAACCCTGAATTTGAAACCCTGAATTCTGGACATTGCCACCTTCTTTGGCAGAAGTATCTGTGAAGTCGTTTGCTAAAACTTGAATTTTTGTTAACAATTACTTCTCACTGAGATAGAAGTTCTGCTGTACAGTTAGGAGGTTTTCTTTCTACTGATGAATCATGAGATTGACAACTGTCATTGGAGTTTATTTCCCTCCAGCTTGTTTTCCTATGAGCTGGGTAACCTTAAATAATACTGTGAAAAATAACATTGTAAAGCTAAAAAATGTTGAAATAAGTTTGCTTTGTACAATGCTAATTCATTGTCATGTATCAATTTATCTATGGACATCCATTTCATTCAGTGCAGAGAATTGTTGCTCCCTGTTGAGCAGTGATTTAATACTTTGTTTCCCCACCCTTAATTATGTCCTTGTATTTAATGCACATTGCTCAATTACTTATTCTGAATATATAATTTTTTTTCTTATGAGCTCTTCCATAATGCTTTCTTTGAGGTCCTAAGAGTTGTCACTTGTGCAGATCATATTTCAAAGAATCTTGACTGTGACTTCACTGAAATTAAGATAACAATTAATGATCAGCAGAAGAAATTTTGGCTCGAGCAATCTGACCAGCATTGTGGTGGATGGTACAGTAGGAGGGGCAGAGACTATAAAGTCCTTCAATGAAATATTCAACTGCTTTAACAATATGAGGCTACCTTTTTACAGGGCAACTCCTGAAAATGCTTGTTTGTGCATGCCTCAGCATCTTTAGTAAATGGGAAAGATACCTTAAAAATCTCCTGAAAACCAGTTTTATTACAGTGACAACTTATCCCGGAAGTATCATGTGAACCAAGCGACATAGATGTATAAGTCCACATGGAAAAACAGTGAATGATCATGTATTCAATGCTTATATTGTAACGGCTGTATCTTGTGTGACAAATTAAGTTTGCACAGGTGACCTGATTTGAGGAGTATCTTGATTTTGAGGGCTTGACTTTGCAACCGTAACATTTTAAGATAGCTTTTAAATTGCACATGTAGCAAGGTAAGAAAACCCTAAATTGGTTATAGTGCTTTGGGAGATTTAGAAATAGGTACAAGTGCAGGGTCAACAAGTGTTTGTACAGTGTTTGCCTGTTTATTTAAAGTGGCCTTAAAGAAGCCTAAAATCTAGCAAGAAGTGTATGCATCAGTAATTTGTGGTTTGTCATCAGTAATTCTGATGTTTAGAAAAAAACAACCCTTTTGTTCAGTATTTGTTCCTGGGCTGCTGTCATGTGAGACTTCTTTTTTTTTTTTACAACACTTCTAAGAATCTTCGCCTGCTGTTGATGATTTAGATTGAAGGAGGAATGTAGTTTTGTAACCTGCATGTCTGAACACTTGGGTTTTTGAGAATGCAAATTCTTGCTCCTTTCGTGGGAGAACATTGTCGGGAATGATGTGCAGTCCTCACTGTACTCTCCTTTCTGTATCAGGTAGGCAGACAATACTTCTGCTCCTTTGTACATTAGTAAATATGATACTTTGCCCTGAATTCTCAAGAGAAAAAAACAACAACTTTTTAGCTCTAGTTCTAGGTGGTCTTTTACTAGTTTCCGCGTTCCCCCCCCCATCTGTTCAGTGACAATTACATGGAAGAGAAATTGACTAAGAAAGAAATATGGGGGGAGAAGTGTGTTGCTATCTGTCAGAGGTCAGACGTGGCACCTGCTGGCACTGCTACTAGTTGTAAGGTAAAGTTTGAGGTATAGAATTGCATGAAGTTACCATTCCCTAGATTCGGTATTGGCTGCTGAATCAGTAGTGTCAGGATTTTTAAGTGCTTTGATTCAGCAGCCAATACCGAATCTAGCAAATGGTAACCTGGTGCAGTCCTATACCTCAAACCTTTTTATTTTTTTGCTAAAATTGTGTGTCAAAGTATGTCTACACCACAGTCTGCCCAAGATAAGTAAGATCTAGCTTGTGAATGGAAAGCAGAGTAACCAGTCTGCCTCCTTTCTTCCCGTATAAAATGGAGGATAGTAAAATAGGTGATGACATTTTGGTAGGTTTGTGGTTTCATTTTTCCCACATGGAGCCTTATTTTGTGCCTAGGATATTCTCCTAGAATTAATGGATTCTTTCCTGTAAGGTAATGTGGCCTATCAAATCCTTCCCTCATTTTGTTGTCAAAACTGTAAGGTAGAACCTGCCTAAAAAGAAAAGGTGTTGAGGACATAAGTTGAACGTTTATCTAGAGCATATTTGTTAGTTGTAGATAAGCCACAAAGTTACATGTCGTACTGAGCACTTAGAACTGAAGGGGAGGAGCAGTAGTGCTTAGAGTATGGAAAGGGCTCACTATTGCCAATTACCTTAAAAAACAGATACAATACACTGGAGTTTCACTTTTTCCTGCCTTTTTTTTTTTTTTCCTTAGTTCTGAAATGATGGTGATACCACACATTTACCTCAGAAAGCAATGTTTGAAGAACCTAGACATTTTTTGTGAGCAGCAACATACAAAGGCTAACAAGAGAAAAGTTTTGTTCAGAATAAAGTTTAAATGTTGTGCAGTACGTGAGTGAATAAGGCAAGGACTCTACATGAATGCAAAGAAAGCTAAATATGAGTGGCTGCTTTTTCACAGAGTATTTTCCACTGTGAGTATTGGTTGAAATAGTTTTAGTAACCTTCTAAAGTGATGTTTCATGTCACTAAAATCACAGTACACCTAGAGGAGTAAATTAAGCTTGCAGAGACTTAGTAACTCTTGTTATTTTTGAAGCCTTGATTTGGCAATCAATGTTCTAAATACTATACTAAACATACTCTTTATGTAGTACTGTGAACAGTCTGCGGTGGGCAGGCTTGTGTAAAGTCTGTATACATTGTTTCTTACTTGACAGTGTCTCATTGGTTTCACATCTAGGGTGTTACCTGTGTTGCAGAGGGAAGAAACAGAGGCAGCAAGGTAGGTAGCCATGTGCTTAACATCTTTGTCATGAGTAAGCAGTTCTTTCTAGAAGATGGGTGTATTATTTGTAGAAGTAATTGATCAAAACTACAAGGAAGTAGTTGCAGAACACAGCTGTAACATGGCTCTGCATGACCTGCTAAACGTCTGCAAGTCTTGGCTTACTCTTGCCTTAAATGCCTTGCAGATAGTCCTAGAGAACACTGCCTAATCTTGAACAAAAATAACAAAGTAGGTGTGTACAGAGTGTCAGTTTTGGAAAGTACCTTTAAGACTGATGAGTTTTCAGGTCCAGTGAAATCAAACACCTCTAGAAGTAATTAACAACTGTTCCTAAAAGTTTTTCATTGGTGCAATTTATACATTTGTTGATTTAATTTTCACCACTCAACTTTTGTGGAAATTATTTTGTTCACAATAATATAGTAAGTAAACCATTGTGATAGAATGGGCTTGAAAAAGGTTTTTTGTAAACTAATTGCAACAATTGAGTAGGTAGCTGGTTTAGCAATGAAGCAATGTGCTTGGGTCACCAACAGTAGGCAATGTGAAAACAAGAGATTTGAGAGATATTAAGCCAAGTATATATGCTAAAACGCGAGTTTTTGTCACGACAGGATTTCCAAAGGTACATGTAACAATATACACATTAAAACATGAATGATAGTGAATTGGTGCTTTCTTGCTGGCAGGTTGTAAAGAAAGATGATCCAGCACTACCTTCATATACTATTGAGTTCCCAATATTTTGAAGTTTATTTGCACTTTTGAAAATACAAACAAAAATATTAATGAAACAGAGTAAAGGTGAGGAGGAGGACAACACATGTCCATTAATCTAAAACCTTTAGCCGGCTTTACTGCCACTGATCACATGAAGTACAGTCCTATTTTCAGCTTGTACACACTGGTACATTAGGTCAGCTTGCTCTAACTTCTAGGGCTGTGAACTTCACAAAGAAATTGCTGAAAGCAGTGATCTGTGGTAAACGTAACAAATGGAAAGAATAGATCACTGTGGGTATTCTCATTTTTAAAGTGAAAATGTCCTACAGCAAATCTATCTTTAAATAGCAGTCAAATGACCAGACTGTGATAGGCAGTTGTTCTTCACGTGACTTTGAATACCTGTCTTGTCACAAATGGAAAGCACAGAGGTATCTGCTTTGGCTTCTTGTGTTGAATACAGCTGCTTTTCTGATAAAACTGATGTGGCGTGGAGCTTTACGAACTACATCTCTTGCTACTCAGTAGGTGCTCTTGAAGAGTATTTTCCTTCATTTTGGCTTTTCTCCTTTTAATACCTGATCCATGTGTTTTGGGATGTTGAAGGAAATGTTCAAAAAAGTCTTCATTTAGCATCAGTTTGATTAAGAGACTCTTACAATGTGTTTTAGTTTTGTTGAGTCTTTTGTGTTGTTTTGGCTGTCAATTAGAACCAGGGAGGTGCGTTGATGATTCTCTACTATTTCAGCAACACTGCCAAAACGCTGGGTAGAGAAAAAAAAAAAATTAGCACTGGGTTCCTTTAGTGCTCTAATATTGACAGTAGTCACTGCACCATCTTTTTCTCTTTGCCTCTTCCACCACTGAAGAGAGTGTAGCTATGTCTGTTAGCAAATGAGATCCTCTGCCTTTTATTAAGAGCACCGATACTGCTCTTGGTCCTGCCAATCAAATTTGGACAATGGAATAGACTATGGCCACTAGTGTCTTGTCTCATGTTCCTTTCTGATTGCCACCTGCACAAGCTGAACCACAGAGGTTGTTACATAGCGTATTAAAGTGGAACTGCTTTCAGTTTACCTTAATATATATCAGGCTGCAGACGGTGGCAGTTTGGAAGCTGCTTCATCTGTAGTTCAGCCACAGAGAGAAGGTCATCTCCAGGAGTAATATGGTACAGACTACCATCAATGAGAGCTGTTTTAGTTAGCAACTTTAATATTTGTTACTAAATTAATATCCAGAATCTGCTAGGTCTGTTGCTTTTCCTTTTGGTCTTTGGTCAAATAGAGGTTTTGGACTATCTTTTCTTTCTGAGGTAATTTTCGTCCCTTTATTGAAAGTCAGAGAAGCTCCAGGCTATTATTTATTCTGTAGCCTCAAAACCATAGCCTGGGAGGCAGATGTTAAGGCAAGCTGACTTTCACATCCCTGAAAAGCCTCTTCTGTGAAGTGGTTAACAAACAGTTTTTATTGTTATTTAGATTCCAAGTTATTGTTTTGCTGTCAGAGTAACTATCTATCTGTGTGGTAAAACAGCCAACCAGTGATCTTTACACACTAGAACTAGAGTTTAACATCATCTTTATGTAAAAATAGATTAAAAGTACTGTCATTTTTTTTTCTTTGCTTGATTTGGTTTTTTTGTTTGTTTTCTTTTGAGCATGGCTGTTTCTACTTTATGACCTTCCAAGAAACTTAAGGAGAGTCTTAGGTAGATGATGAGTAGAGAACTATAAACAGCTGGAGAATGTGTCTCGCAGCTGCAGCTCTGAGCCTTATAACTTTTCAAAACAGTTCTATGAGTATGCTTTAAACTTGATCTGTGGTTTTAATTACAGTATGCAAGAGCTGATGATGTTACACTGGTTTCTCTAACTTGATCAGTCATTTTATAGGGTATACTTTTATCTTGATACATGAAGAATACTTTTGGTCATAGTGCAGTATGTCTTAATCCTTGCTTATTAAAGGTATATAGCTGAAAACTTAGGAAAAAAAAACCCCTACATCATCTTACCTCTTCACCACTCTTTTCTCTGCCCAGTGCATATTGTCTTGTTGATTCAATAAATCGTATAGGAACATTGTATACTCTTCTGTTGTAAAACACAACCAGTGTGTATGGTTGCCGTGAATCCTGTCCAGAACTCTTTCTTACTAGAAAAGATCCATCCTAAAGAGATAAAAGTAGTAGGTGTATTCAGCTTATTTTTTCCAACAATTTAGTTTGGTTTTAGCTTAATATTTTCATCTATATTTGGCTTAAACCATTTTCTCCCATTAGAGAAACTGTACAGCAGGAGATGAGAAGTAGGATGTATTCCTGATTTCTAACATATGCTT